TCGGATACGGGTAGGGCCGGGTAAAATGATACAGGCCTACAAACAGTGCCGTAACTAGGCAGGTGCAACAGGTGCACCCGCACAGGGCCCATTTGGAAGAGTGTCCCAAAATGCACATGTTTGTTTTATTATTTTCCCAAACCTAATTAATTAAGGGGCCTAAATGCAAGTTCTTGCACAGGGCACAGAAATGGCTAGTTACGGCACTGCCTACACTTATACCTATATTATATCTAAAAATTGAAATTTACCTTACTTATCAAAAAAAATAAATGAATTTTTTAAAAATTAAACTTAACCAAACGGTTATGTACATATTTAGAAAAAAACGGCCCAAATTGTATACGGCCCATGTGGAATTTTCCACATTTTCCACATGGCCAGTCCGCCCCTGCTTGCAGCTAGTATATATATATAAATGGACGTGTGTGTCCCTATATTTCACTTTTCCGCAAAAACTACACATCGCACATGAATGCTGTTTGTATGTGGTAGTAGCCCCAAGTCTCCATTCGTGCACTATGGGGGTTGCGTCTCGATAGCTATAAGGGTGCGGGAGATATGGGGCTGAAAGTGGTTGAAAGTGGCTTTCTATTTCGAATGTTTTGTTCGAATTTGTTCGAATTTAATTCGAACAATGTTCAAATTTGTTCTAATTTGTTCGAATTAAATTCGAACATAAAATTCGAATATTGGTTCGATTATAGAACGATCGTAAACGTTCCAGAAACGTTGAAAATAGTTCGTTTGACTGGACGTGAACAGGAGACGTTCAGAAATAGAATCTGGACCAGGTCTCCAATTAGTCTGGAAACAGGGGACCTAATTCTTGCATTCTGTGAAAACGGGTAAGATTGGCTATAATGTAATTATCTTAATCTTCACTATCCTTACTTTTTAAAAACCCAGCGAAGCGGGTGCTTGCAGCTAGTATATATATATAAATGGACGTGTGTGTCCCTATATTTTACTTTTCCGCAAAAACTACACATCGCACATGAATGCTGTTTGTATGTGGTAGTAGCCCCAAGTCTCCATTCGTGCACTATGGTGGTTGCGTCTCGATAGCTATAAGGGTGCGGGAGATATGGACTTGAAAGTGGTTGAAAGTGGTTGAAAGTGGCTTTCTATTTCGAATGTTTTGTTCGAATTTGTTCGAATTTAATTCGAACAATGTTCAAATTTGTTCTAATTTGTTCGAATTAAATTCGAACATAAAATTCGAATATTGGTTCGATTATAGAACGATTGTAAACGTTCCAGAAACGTTGAATATAGTTCGTTTGACTTGACGTAAACAGGAGACGTTCAGAAATAGAATCGGGACCAGGTCTCCAATTAGTCTGGAAACAGGGGACCTAATTCTTGCATTCTGTGAAAACAGGTAAGATTGGCTATAATGTAATTATCTTAATCTTCACTATCGTTACTTTTTNAAAGGTCTCCAATTAGTCTGGAAACAGGGGACCTAATTCTTGCATTCTGTGAAAACAGGTAAGATTGGCTATAATGTAATTATCTTAATCTTCACTATCGTTACTGTTTGCCCGCAAATAAAAACCCAGCGAAGCGGGTCCTTGCAGCTAGTTTACATATAAAATTATATCAATAAATATGTTATTTTATCTATATTTTGTATATTTCTAGCAAATTAATAACTAATTTACGCTTCATATACAGATGAAAAATGACCTTATTTATTTAGAATATGTCGCATGTCAATAACAGTATAAGTATTGACGACCTCGTAAAGTATCTTCGAGTGGTCCAAAGAGATGATAGTCGGAAGGGGCTAGATCTGGGCTGTGGGCAGTGTTCCAGCACCTCGAAATTCAAATGGCTACTGGTTTCAACGGAACCCATTTCTCATAGACTTTATAGAAGTCGAGCTCGTCGGTGGCAGAACCGTGACTAATCTGCAGAGAACACGTTACAATGTTTCCTGGTAATTCGCCAGTTTGCCAATATCATTTCTCGAGCTTGTTGAATCTTCTCAGTATTGGTGAAGATTGACAGAAGTCATGCTCCCTATCCTTGCATTACGTTTGTCCGGCCACTGTTAAACTTTTTGATCCATTCATACACACTTCTACGTGGTAGAGCGCTATTCCCGTATTGTATTGAAAGTCTTCGATGAATTTCTGCCCCTGGCACATCTTTTGACCAGAAAAATTGGATCATTGCTCTTTGTTCCTTTTTCGTGCACACTGCTAGCGGAGCGGCCGTGTTTACACTGAAAGAGAAGCAAGAAAATTGACGCTATAGAGATCAAACTTCGATAACGTGACAACAATAGTATTAATTCTAAGCATGTGTGAGCGAAAGTGTGGATAATTTTTGACATTTTTTATGTAATTTACTTAAACAACTAAATTAACCGTAAAAATGTTTGGTTTAATTATATGTACGAAAATGTTCACGAACACTTTCTTATATCTTTATAATCTAAATTTTTAACATTATGATACTGTATATTGTAATTTAACTAAATACAGTATATATACAATGAACAAAAAGTATTTGCACATAGGCATTATTTTGTATAAGTAGGCCTAAACTTGCAAAGCAGCTACGACAAAATAAATTTAATCATTGAATAACTTTTACAATTAATATCCATGATCATTGGAGTTGGAATTTGGCTACTTTCAATTGTCATGGCTCTGAAGTGCGAATTCTCCATGTCAATACGAGAGAGGATTATAGTCCTACGGGATTGCAGTTTAAATTATCGGGTGATTGTTAAAACGTTAAAATTGAACTTTTCCAGCTTTTGATAACAGAAACCTCAGGCTTATTAAAAGCTACTTACATTAATAACACTGAGAAAAGCTGGATACTCTTTTTTAATTCAGACACTTTCAAAGCATAATGCTGTTTTTGAACATGATTACAGCAAAGCAGAAGTCAAAGACTGTATTATTTACTGTCTGTCTGTGGTTTTCTCTATAGACATTTTCTAAAGAAAACTCTAGTTCAAGTTTGCATCGAAGCATTTTCTACATGCAATACTTTTTCCAATTAATTAATTTAATTGCTTTTATTTCCAATTAATTAATTCCAACTTGTTAATTAATTTATCCAAATCTATAGATATGGATAAATTAATTAACAAGTTGGAATTTTATTTTGTATTTTGTATTTAATTATTTTGTATGTAATTAACAAGTTGGAATTTTATTTGGTATTATACCAAATCTATAGATTTGGTATAATACCAAATAAAATTTTGGTATAATACCAAATAATATTTGTGAGTTTCACAGTTCAAAGTATTCTTTGAAAAACATTGCGAAGAAGTATCTGTTTATGAATACTGCATAGAACATGTTTTATGTAACAAAGCATTGTAGTTTCAATATAAAAAACATGCAGAAGAGTTGCTAGCTCACAAATATAATTCATTATTACGTTCTGTTGAGAATTCGGCAATATGGAAAACAAAAAAATGTATTTGCTTGGATTGGAAAGCAAGAAACCGAAAAAATTTTCCAAGATGCTTTCATAGTAAATTTTTATTGCATTATAATTGAAGGCTCGCGTCGAATAACGTTGCAAGCGCCAAAATAGTGTTTCTAGAATGTTTGTGTGTTTGTTTTGTTAAGTTATGACAACTCAACACTTGGGCGATCTGCTTAGGAAAATAGCTTCCGGATGTTTTTTCAAGAGTAACTGGGCCCTATTCAGGCATTACAAACGTGGAGAAAACCCGGAAAACTCCACGTGGCCAGCCTGTCCTGGCGAAGCGCGAACACATGACCGAAATTCCAGTGTTTGGGGAACAGAACCGCTTGGACACTGGTTTCCAGAAAAACGCGAAGAATCGGAAAACCTCTAAATTCAAGTGGATCAGTTGATACAATGATTTTATTTAAAAGTGTAAGAACGACACTGCTGCAAAAATTCAGTCATTTTCATTGCAAAATACTTTAGGAAACGACGATAAAGCATTCTGTGTAATGAAAAAGTCGCACGTGCACATGCCGCATGTAACTTTATTCACGCGACGTTTTAAAAGTGTAGTACTGTATATTTTGATTTCAAAGCGAGGTTCTGTCCTTAAAGTACATATTTCTGTTGGAATTATAAATAAGGCAGTCCACTTCCGATGTCCACTTCCTTATTTATGACACAGCATATTGTCAGCCGCATGTTTTGGGGCACTTAACAAAAAAGCTGTGCTAATGGAAAAACGTTGCATGTGCATACAAAACGGCGGACAAGTAAGTGTTCACTCCTCCCTCTGCGAATGCAAAATTTAGGAAAGATATTGTCATCCTGAAATTGGAATCATATGATACTGAAAATGCAGGTTTAATTTGTCGCACAGTAAACAAATTAAACCGGTTGTAAAGTCCCCGAGTGAGGCAAGTAGAAAAACGTTACATATGCCATGCTGCGAATTTCACAGCACGGAGAATGCAACAAAGGATGACAAAGTACTTCAGTATTTTAGAAAACTTTTTCGTCAGGCCAAATCATCTGAAAATTATCTCGGCAATATAGGTTCAGATTACGTTCGATTAACCTATTATTATTAGAATAAGACGTCCCCATGATTTACAACCATGAGATTCAGTGGTTGGCCTTCAATTATAAATGAATAAATGACTGAAAAAAGAACAGAAAATGTCTAATCTGTACTTACTCGTTCTCTCTCTTCAAAATTCTCATTTACTTCATGATTATGTTTACAATGTTTTAAAACAAAACTATTACTTCTTAGATAACTATACTTCGAATTCAGAAAATCGAAAACGATAGTCCGTCACTCTTTAACCTGCCGCCCGATTGTACCCTTTGCGGGTCTAACCGAATCCAGGAAGGAAGCTCCACGCAAAATTTTTATTTTAACAATAAGATAAAAATTAAGTACAGAAGCCATTTTATTATCGTAAAATTTATTCTCATAAAAATTAAAAAAATATAATTAAATATTAAAAAAAATTTTTTGATTATTTGCCAAGAAGAGAGATTTTTTAAAATCAGGTAGAGGGAGCTTTCTTTAGGAAGGAAGGTTGTGTTAGAAGTCTGTTATACTGAAGAGTTTCTTTTTTGTCCATTTATAGTAACGACTTTTAAAGCATCGTGTAGTTATTATTTTTTATTCTTAGATTGCAATCGTTGGCAGATTGGAGTCTTTTCCGATTATGCCCATGGATGAAGTGGATAGTGGAGTGGATGAAGTCAGTGTCCCAGAAAGTAGAGAAGGTTCTCCGGCCGCCAAAAAAGATAAGGAAAGCATGGCTCTGGCAGTAAATAATGCTGATCCAGTCGAAGAGGATGACGTAAGTTAATCACAGATTAATTTATTATTAATAAGTACAATATATTTGTTACGTTTTCAATTTAATAAATATGTGCTAGGTTACCTATTCAGTCTCGTGGTACTTCACTTATCAACGTGGTGAATCGGTTAACCTAATTCAAACAATGATACACTGATAATCCACTGATTTCTTTCGTTCGTAATTCCCACGTTTCTTGTTCTAAAATATATATTATGAATGAATCTCATTTAAAATATAGGAAAACAATTGTTGTGTGTGCATGGACGAACAATACAATACAAAGTTGCATACAAACAAAATAGAAGCTTTATTTTCCTTTTATTGTGTACACTTGGTTCTTTTGGATCCCAACTATATAGCTCTTTTTTGTACAATACAGTTCAATTGGCCCTTTTGTACAAACAAAGACTGGTGACACGTGTCTGCAAAAACAATAGATAATATTGATATATATATTCCCATAATAATATATATCTAACTTAAGCTACCTTAAACTAACTTACATACTAAAAAAACAAAAGAGAAAAGAAAGGAAAATGGAATGAAAGACTCATAAATGGGGAAGAAACAAAGAGAAGGTTGGTGGAGTACCCGGGCCTTTCATAGATCTCCAAATTTTCTCAACCTCAGGGCTTGCGCTCAATTAGCTCTTTCTTCTGTCCTTTTCTACACAAAAATCAGAAGATCCAGAAGTATTCACAAAGTCCTCGATCTCAGCAACAGTGCTTGTTCGTCTGTTTTCCCTCCAAACAACCAAAATTCTATTCTGTGCCTTACTTAACGTTGACTTCGACCTCTTTCGCTTTCCGTCCACTCTCCTCGAACGCTCTCTCAAGAATGTCCGTTTTTCTTTTCTGATGCCCTCCAGGTTTTTTTAACTTTTGTTCTTGGACAACGGTTGCCCCCACCCATAGGGAAGGACTGAATGAGAAAGTTCTAGGAAATAGTGACATGGAAGACAAAGGATAGAGAAAAATATGAAACTTATATTTAACCCCTATGTATGTAGGCATGGCATACTGCCACACAATGTTATAAACTATAGAAATGTTTCTACATTTAACACTTTGATCGAAAAGTTAACTGGTGGCTCCCTCTCTTCCCAGAGTGAGTTTTTAAATAATGTAATATTTACAAAAAAAATGGTACTTTTCTGTTAACGGGACATTGGTCAATGTGTACCACAATGGGTAAGATTCATGCTCTAAATGAGGGGTTTTGCATTTTTGGAATTGTTGAAATCCCCCCTACACAAGCAAAAAAAATCAAAGGAACTGTACCTGTATGTGCAACCTTTTGTGAGATATTCACTTCCAAAAGTCTGTTTTTAATGTGTATCAGTATACTGTCTATTCTCTGTGCACTGCATTGGTGAGGCTTGCTAGCACTTTCCTTGATCGATGCTCTGTGTGTAGTCATATGTTTCAGTGCTTGCTGTCATTTCCACCTGGATGGGGCACGAGCTCCTACATCCCTCTAAAACTATATAATATCGAGTACTCCATAAATGGTTAAGTGCACTACTCAAAGCTAGCATAGTCGTGTGGGCTAAATAGTTAAACACTGTAGTCTTAGTGGAGCAACACGGATGATGGTATTGTGCATTGGATTAAAGTTATGACTGGTGTCTTGTTAACAGAAAAGTATCAAAAAATTGATATCTTGTCTTCTAATTCATATTTTTTTAATAAACCAGACAATATTTTTGTCTGATTCCACCGTATTGAAAAATTCCAATTACTCAGAAGGAGATGGCAAGTGTGAATGACTCACAGACCCTTGTTGTCTTTATTCTAGAAAATTCTATGTCAAATCTCATGAAAGTTACAAATCATGTGGGAAAAATATTTTCTAGACCTATCCCTAGATATTTGTAAAGTATTATGTTTTCCTGTAAACATATGAGCAATGAGACAAACTTAAAGAATGTATATATAAATGCTTACTCTAAAGCTCACCATATGTATCACTTATATATGTGGGAGTACCTCATCAAAGGATTAAACTATTAAAAACTTTTTAAGGTTTTTTTGCATAATTTCCACAAATCAGAATTTTTAAAATAATTCAGCACAAGAGAAACTTGAATACCAGCTTAAAAGAATGTATAACATTAAACATAAATGTAAACTGTAACCTTTGTCAAATCAGCAAAAAATTCACTTTTAGTATCTATCATCAAACATTTTTAGTGTTATTCAAAGACCTTCATTAGGCTATTCTATAGATTAGAACAATTTTTTTTTATAAATACAGTGGAATATAGAACATTGAATACAAACTATTGTTTGCAGATATTAAAGTGAATTTTTTGCTTTGACAGTGAAAATCTACTTTACAAGGTTGCAAGTTATGTTTATGTTTAAATACTGAATTAGTTATTTTTGTGTACAGTCGACCCCCCTATAATTACAGTCCCTATAGTTACGATTCCTATAAAACTACGAAAAAATTGCTACCGGTATCCGTAAAAAATAGTAAAAGTTCCCTATAAACACCTCAAACGTCATCGGGAAGCCGAACTACTTTCCCGCCGTCCGTAGCGCCACGCTACGGAGATTTTTACGCTAACTATCGTCTGTCAGTATGTAAATTAGGTACCGTAAGTCTAATACAGTACTGTAATTTTATACATTTCTTGTGAAAGAAACATTTCTTATTCAACGGCGATTAAAATTATTTATATTAATGATGTCTCCGAAGTTCTACGAAGTTTTCACAGAAAAATAAGTTGTTAGAAATCGGCCACTCTTTGCTGAGCTGTTCCGCGACGAAAACAATGTTGAGCAATGACAATGTCGAATGGTGACACTCGGTAAGTAATCCTACAATTTTTTGTTTATAGCGTAGTTTATACGGATTATTCCCAAAAAATATATACGTATTTTGGAAATGTTGAGTCGGATTAGTCTAGAATCGATTAATTTTATGGAAGAAAATCTTTCAAACAGCTGTAGTCCGTAAACTTGACACGTGTCGGGTTGTGATTGGAAGGATTCGTAAGAAAGCGGATTCCTAGAGAATGGAACGTATCTCTATCTTATAGGGGGGTCGACTGTATATTTAAAACATTATTGCTAATTTATGACCCTAGTAGATTTCTGAATTTCTGTTGAATTGATATTGAATTTCTTATTTTTCTTCAGATATTTACATATGATTGATATTAAACAGTTCAGAATCACTGCTTATTTACCATACATACTCATGTATATTATATATACAGTAAAACCTTGATTATCTGAACTAATGTGGGCCAATGCTACCTCAGATTATTGAAAACTTGAATAAAACAGAAAGTCCTGGCTTTAACAGATTAAAAATTACAAATATAAAAGATTTATGTAACAGCACTTTTTAAGCCTCTTTTTATACTTTATTGAATCTAATCAGATATAAGAACAATAATTTTTTCATTATTTATTATACAGCTAATACATAGTCTTCCGCATCCTCTTCAGCTATTATGCTGAAGATGGCTAACCTGATATGCTAAGAGTCTATCTTCAGCTATGATGGCCAAACATATAGACAGAAAAGGGGAGTTCCAATGGGAAGTCCGGTCTCAGGAATACTTTGTGAGTTGGTTGTTAGAAAATTGAAGAAAAGAGTTTTATATGACTTCCATAATAGTATACTATATTTTAAAAGATATGTGGATGACATCTTTATCTTATGGAATAATAGCTGTAAGATAAATGAATTCATTGAAAGCATTAATCGTAACAACGACGGCCTTAAACTGAAATTAGAATAGAAAAGTTCCATAATAATACATTTTTTTAGACATTAGCATCCAATTCAGAAAAGGGCATTTATCTACCAGTGTTTATGTTAAACCAACGCACAGTCCACTTTGTATCCCCTCGCAATCAAATGATCCTTATTGTTACAAGATGGCAGCATTCCGGGCTCTAATCAGAAGGCCCTTCTGATTAGAGCCCGGAATGCTACCATCTTGTAACAATATTTCTAACAATTTTATATCTTGTACTTTATCAACAATATTTCTAACAAAATTTCTATATTGTGACAACATTATGGATAGAGCAAAGGAAATTGACAGAATTCAACAAGTCGCTGAAGCCTTAGGGAACAATAAAGGCACAATAACAGGAATTGTTAGATGTGAGAAGAGCATAAAAATGGGCTCAATACAAGGTCCCGGTAAAATCACAAAATTCACTTATAACAAATATGCCAAAGGTATTATGAAAGAAATTGCAGACCGCAAAAACAATAAAAGTAAACACATTTTCAACTATAAGCAGTAAGTTCATTGAAGATGAATCACATTTTTTTTTCCACTATATTGCAAGCAAACAACAGGAAGAGAATCAGAAAGCCCGGTGCAAACTAGTCAATGCTGTCACTTTTAACATGATATCAGAGGCAATTGTTATGGTCACATGACTGTTTTCCTTCGATGATCTGTGATGTAGTTCTAAAGAACTAGTGAACATTTTATCTATCCCTCTATGAACTATTGGTAGTTTGTAGTTTCTTTGGATTGGATTGGTAGTTTCTTTGTAAAATGGCAATGATCAGCAATTACAATTTGTTGATGATAGCTTTAGCTCTCCTATTTGTTGCTTGTATGGCAGAAATTTAATAAATAAAAATGGGGACCCGATAGAGAATGGATTTCCATTGTGATAGGTACATAACTTTTATAATCTCAATAAAATCAATGAAATTATTTATATTTTTACATCTATAAAAACCTATCAAATAGTTTTCTGTTTTGTAATCCCAGTATAGCAAAGCAATCGCTGAAACAAGATGAAGATCACAGCAAAAATATATGCAGGCATTGTTTGTGGCCTACAGCACATATTCCTTTCTCAAACTTTCAAATGTGTATGACCATCTTGTGATTGTAGCCAAAAAATCCAACATGTTTGATCTGAGTGTTGTTGAAGGAATCGTCTACTTTCCATCTAAGGATTTGACATAGAGTGATATTGAGTTAATGACTTTGCAGTGGATAGTCAAACCTTAGAAATTTGAATAAATTTCATTTGACATTATCTCCAACCAGTTTGCTTTGATATCAACTAGTTTGCACTGGGGCTTAAGGTTGTTCATTGACCATGTGGGAGTAACTGAAAGACATTCTCTAAATGCATACTAACAGTCTAGAGTGAAAAATTTATAATGCCAAATTTGCAACATTTCAGGGAAAGCAAAAGAACACAATAAAGAACTTTGGATTTGGACAATTAAAATATTTTATCACATAATGCTTAACACATTAAACAGGTTATTGACTTTAATAATTTTTTAGTGTTAAAGCATATGTATTTTCAAATTTTAAGTGAATAAATGTGACAAAAAGGCCAAACAGTGGTTTTATGAGGTTTTTACTCATTTATAAACAAAAAATTCTAAATTTTAACACTATTAACCTGAATTTGTATATTATTTGGTGTGATAGATGCTATCATTGATTTTATTTTCTAAAAGATCTACACAACAGAATGAAAAAGTATTATCAGTTCTAATATACAGTTATCTTTAAATCAGTTATCTCTGAAACTAAATTTAGTTCTAGATTAGCTGTAAATCCTGTAATTCATGATTTTAGGACAAAAAATTTCAGAATTTCAGAAAAATTGAATTAATTTTTTAATCTTAAATTTCATTATCTTTTAATTTGAAATTCCTCACCACTAGGCTGAAAAAAGCTCTTACTCACAAAGCCCCATTGGGGACATTGTGAGTATGATAATAGGCTCTCTTAGTGCTCACAGGATAGAGTTAAAAAATTTATATATTTATATCCAATAGTTGTAAGGACTGTGATTGATTCATTATCTAAATCGTACCTTTTTTATCATTGAATATTTGAAAATTAAATAATAAAAATTGTCATATCTTTTAACAGTTTTCTTTTCAAGAAACTGTTAAAGATATGACAATTTTTTTAAGATAAAATGATGATAAACTTGCAAATTTTCACCAGTAAAATTTTTAATGAAAAATTTGCAATTTCAGCTGATTACTTAGTCATATTCAAGTTTTTAGAATATATAACAAAATATCAAGTTTAAAAAATTGCATTAGAAATTTTTAATTACTTGAAACTTCAAAGCTTGTATTTTCTATTATTTTACATGTATCACTTTGTTATAATTGTATATCTGAAAATAGTTGATTAATCATTCAAAAATATTAATTATTGAACCCAAAATCTTATATATATAATAGCCAAATGACTGTAGTCCAATTTAATCCCACAGTTGTTGACTTATTATTAAAATATTAAAATATACCAGAACAAAGATGTGCAAGGCTATATGTTAAAAGACAACACTTATGTTTAGATTTTTAAAGTAATAAATTTAAAATTTTACTGATAGTAATCCTTATTTATTCATTTTACATATATTAAATAAAAATTTGGTTACTATTAACATTTTAGAAATCTAGAAATTTAAACATGAAGATTTAATAAATTTTTGTAAATTAATAGGTTAAAACAATATATTATCATCATTAAACATTTACATTACTATCATTTCATAATGTAAATTATATTTTTTAAGGACATTGATGAAACAGTAATGGAGAGACTATGGGGTCTCACAGAGATGTTTCCCCAATGTGTTCGAAATGGTACTTGGACCGTAACAACTGGGGCTCTCTCAACTGCAAAGGTTTTGTACAGTTTTAGTCGTTCAGCATTATGGATATTTTTTTCTTCTTCAGCCATATTATTTGCTCCTGTAATATTTGAAATGGAACGAATGCAGTTACAAGAAGATCAAAGACAACAACAAAGACAGGTATAATTAATTATATCTCTTATCTGAAATAATATCATAAGTAGGTAAATAATAAATTTGATATAATAATTTAATGTAAAAAAATTAATTTAATATTTAGTTATTAAATTTTCTGAAACTTTAATAATTAAATAACACAATCTGCTTATTGTAATCACTTTGGGACTTACCCATACTGAGACTAATAACTGACTGATAACATTAATTAGTATGATTACAATTAATGGACATTCTGATTTTATTGAATCCAACACAAATGATTAAAAATATATATAACTTTTAGAATTATTAATTATAATAATTACTATTACTAACTTGCATGTTTTGTCAACATACTGACTTTGATAACATTAAATGACTCATAACAATATTCTTGATTACAATAAGCAGATTCAATTGTGTTAATGAAAAATGTATTAAAATAGCAAATAAAGAAAATCCTTGTTCATTCGAACTTGGATAGTTCAAAATTTTATTAGTTCATAACTACTTTTGTCCCAGTTATGGATATAGTTTTACATGTTAAGGAATCAGTTAGTTTTAAATACAGCTACTTTGAAATTCAAAATTAAAATTCTATCTGAATCATGATAGACATAGACTAATTTGTTTGTTTAGATCAAGGTGCCTCCATGTTATGAGAGCAACTCTAATCTGGTCAATATGGCTTTGCTTTTACAGTAACATATTTTCAGATGTCACCTTACACACAGACTTCTCTTATTTTCCCTTTATCTCATAAAGTAAGGCTGATTTTCGCAATTGCAAGATTGGGCTACGAGTAGCAGATTGAGATATTTTTAGGGCTCTAGGCTACTACATTTGAATGACTTACTACTTTTTGGTCTGCTTTAAAAATAATTTGGACTACGTTTTGAGGAATTCTATTTTACTTTTTGTAAAACCTATGAGGTTCTCACCAGACACATGCTATTTACCTGCAGTTTATTTATATTATTATTATTAATAATTAATGGAAATAGCATTCTGTATAAGTAGCTGTATTCCATTTGCTTAATAAATTAAATCAATTACATGGCATTTTGCATATTGTNATTTGCCTCTTCTGAAGAAACACGAAATATTTCCTTGTTATCATGTTTCTTCAAAAGATCAATTAGATTTTGTTGATAAAAATAATTTATAAATATGCTTGCTTTCAAATTTATATTCTTACGACTAATCTTTATTTTTAAAAAATGGATAATTCAAACTTTTTTGTATTCTCCAATGTTTGAATTAAAAAGATTTGATTGTATTATTTTAATGATTTGTTTATATTTAATCAAGAATAAGGAATCATTTTTCTAATTGCTATATTTCAGTGTTTCTTTGACTAGGTGAATGTGAATACAAACTTTTTCTGTTTTGCTTATTAATATATTCAATACAGCTAAATAATGCTTTAAAAGTAATGACTGAAATGAAAATAAATTATAAATAAGGAATGTGGTAGTGAATTTTCAAAAAAAAAATTGAATTTTTAGACAGATTTCTGCATATTGAATATTTAATAATGAACTAGCTGATGTACGAGATATTACTTCAGTTATTTTAATAAAATATTGAACAAGTTTAAAAACTATGTGTGCTTTATTAGTTGGTGACTATACATTGAATGATTGCTTCTATTACACACACACACTTATTTAGTGTAATCAGTTTTGTTTTATTTTGTGTTATAAATTTGAATAGACTTGTTCCATCATATTTTACAGAAATGTTTGCATAAATTATAAAATCTCTCACAAGAAATGAAAAATGTAATTTTTAGTACAGCAATCTTAGAAAACCATTTAAAATGGTATATTTCATGAGGCAGCAATAATATTTCAAAGAAACATTGAAAGTAGATAGGAAATAATATTAGTAAAATTATTTAAATACAGTAGAGCGTCGATTTTCCGAATCAATTGGGGACTGGGGTTGTCCGGATAACTGATATTTCAGATAACTGATTTACGTACGAAAAAATAGTTTAACGTATCCGATTTTGAAATTTTTCTCCGTTGTGTGTCGCTTTGCATTGAATTTTCGTCGATGTTAAGCCTAACAAAGACTATTGTATCGTTAAAAATTATTTTTTTATTTTGTACAAACAAAATAAATATATTGAAAAATATAAAAATAATAAAAAATTATACTTCAGATGTTAATTTAGTATCAAAAACGTAAAATATTTGAGTAGCCCAAGACATAGCCAAAGATT